AACGGGAAAAAGGGGGGAGAAAATGAGTAAAAAGGGGAAAATATGGGGGAAAAATGAGAAAAAGGGGGGAAAATGGGGGAAAATTGGAGGGAAATGAGAAAAAATGGAAAAATGGGGAGAAAGTGAGAAAAAAATGAGAAAAAATGGGGGGAAATGGGGAATAAAAGAGAAAAATGGGGGGAAAACGAGGGGGAAATGGGGGAATAATGAGAAAAAAGGGGAAAATGAGGGGAAATGAGAAAAAATGGAAAAATGGGGGAAAACCAGGTGGGAAAATGAGAAAAAAGGGGAAAAATGTGGGGAAACCAGGGGGAAAAAGGATAAAAAAGGGCAAAAACAGGGGGAAAATGAGAAAAAAAGAGCAAAAATCAGGTAAAAATTGGGGAAAACCAGGGATAAACTAGGAGGAAAAAAAAAGAACAAAGGGGGAGAAAAGGGGAAAAAGAAAAATAGGGAAAAAACCACAGTGTGGGAAGGGGAAAATGGGGGTTCCACCCTTTTAAACCCCCCCAGTGTGTGACCCCACAGATTTTGGAGTGATGCAAACTGAGATATCCAAATTTTGGGGGTGATCCCCAAATTTGTGATACCCAAAATTTATGCCCCTCCCTTCCCCAGATTTTGAGGTATCCCAAATTTGAGGTTCAAAGGGCGGGGATGACCCCCAATTTATAACCCCAAATTTGTCACCTCCACAATTTAAACCCCTCCCCAATTTTGGGGCTTCCCACAATGGAGGTGACCCCCCCCCGGATCTCCTGCATGTTGATGGGGGCGTTTTGGGGGGGTCCTGGGGGTCCCTTGCCGGCCCCGACGCTGCCCATGAGGTTGGCAAGGACGGGGGGCAGCTTGGCCCCCGCCCCCGGCTCCGGGGAGGCCGCGGCGTTCCCGGGATCCAGCCCCTCGGGATAGGCCCCATCCTCGCCCGAGCAGTCCTGGGGGGGCACAAACGGGGGTCAGCAAAGGCCTTTTCAGGGTTTTTTTACTTTTTTTGGTGATTTTTTGGGGTTTTTTTATGGCTTACCTCGTCCAAGGGGATGAGTTTGGGTGGGAGTGGCTCGTAGGATTCCGGGTCGGGCTCGTGGGGGCTGTCGGGAATGCTGAGGGGGTGCAAAAAGCTCAGTGGGTTTCTGGGATCCCAAAGGATTTTTTCAAATTTTATCCCATTTTCCCCCCGTTTTTGCCATTTTTTCCCATAATTTTTCCCCATTTTTTCCCTGAGTTTTGTTCTTTTTTCTCATTTTTTCCCCCACTTTCCCCCTCATTTTGCCCTTTTTCTCATTTTTTCTCTTTTACCCCAATTTTCCCCCTATTTTTGCTCTTTATCTAATTTTTTCCCACTTACCCTCATTTTCCCCCTCTTTTTGCCCTTTTTATCACTGGAGGCCCAAAGGCTTCCTAGCCCACATTTCCAGGTTTAGGTTTTCCAGTTCTGTGTGTGCCAGAAATATTGGATTCTCCACAAGCTTGGGTGTCCCTCAAAATGTTCCCCAAATGCACCCAAAGTGTCCCCCAAAAAGGGACAAAGTGATCCCAAAATGGTCGCCCCAAAGAGAGGCTCAAAGTGACAAAAAAAGCACCTAAAATATCCCAAATAATTCCCAAAATAGCACCAAAGTGTTCCTAAAAAGAGAACTCAGAGCCTCCCAAAAAAGAGGCTCAAATCATCCTCAAAATGGCCCCCAAATTCCTCACAAAATAGTGCCTAAAGTGGCCCCAAACAGTGCTCTTAAAACAGCACTCAAAATGTCCCTAAAAAGGGATTCAAAATGTTCTTAAAATGACCTCCAAAAAGGCCTGAAATGTGCTCCCAAAATGGCCCAAAAAGAGTCTCAAAGTGCTCCCAAAAAGGACTAGAAACTGTCTCCAAAAGTGCCTCCAAAACGTCCCCCAAGGTGTCCTCAGAATGGCCCCCAAAGCTTTCATAAAATGACTTCCAAAGCGCTCATGGAAGGGACTCCAAAGTCCTCACAAAAGAGAGCCCAAAGCCCTCAGAAAATGGACTCCAAAATCCTTACAAAATGACCCCCGAAGACTCCACAAAATGGAGCCCAAAGCCCTCACAAAACAGCGCCCAAATCCCTCACAAAACGACCCCCAAAATCCTCAGAAAATGGTGCCCAAATCCCTCACAAAATGACCCCCAAAATCCTCAGAAAATGGTGCCCAAATCCCTCACAAAATGATCCCCAAAACCCTCAGAATATGGTGCCCAAAACCCTCACCAAAACGACCCCCAAAATCCTCAGAAAATGGTGCCCAAATCCCTCACAAAATGACCCCCAAAATCCTCAGAAAATGGTGCCCAAATCCCTCACAAAATGACCCCCAAAATCCTCAGAAAATGGTGCCCAAATCCCTCACAAAATGACCCCCAAAATCCTCAGAAAATGGTGCCCAAATCCCCTCACCAAACGGCCCCCAAATCACCCTCACCACCCCCTGACATTTTGGGCTCCGAACCCCGCCAATCCCCAATTCCCCATCACCAAAAGGAGATCACCCCCCAATTCCCCCCAAATCCTCCCAAAATGGCCCCCGGCTCACCTCTCCTTGGAGAGGAAGATCTCCTGCAGGATGCCCTTGACGCGCTCGGCCTGCGTGAAGCGCTCGCGGCTGCCGCTGCCGGGGATGACGAGCGGCGCCGGCAGCTCCAGGGCCTTGGGGTAGGCCCAGGGCACCTTCTCCTCCATGGAGTCGTGGCTGAGGCGCCGCGCCGTCTCGAAGGCGTGCCGGTCCTTCAGCATCTCCCGCTTGGCCGCCTCGCCAAAGTCCTTGATCTTGTTCACGTTCACTGCAAGGGGGGAAGGTTGGGATCGGTGGGAAGAAACCTTGGATTGTTTTGT